GGTATTTGAATTTATAACATATAACTTTTCGGTCTTACCATCCTCGAATGTCTCGACCAATCGCCTTCCTCAACGATCATATACCTATAAAATTTAGTAATTTGCATGTGTGTAAAATATCGGTAAGACACAAGCTTGATTTCATGTGTTAATATCAATCAAAAATAATATAAATAAACTTACATTCGTTAGAGCGAGTAATGGTAATTTCAATCTCAAAACATAGACTACCTCAATAGTTTATTGTTATAACTTAGCCATTTCAATTTCAAAATTTAGATTAATGTTCCAATTTATAGTGTTGCATAAATGTTTGGGTTCATTTCAATCCCAAAATTTAGGGTAGTTTGTATAATGTTAAAATATCAAATAACTTTTTGTTGATAATTGGCAATGCTTAGGATTATGACGAGATGGAAAATGTCTAAAATATCAAGATTTTAGAGAGACCATTTTGACATTATAACGAGATGGAAATGAAGTGTGTGTTGGGAATCTACTTATACATGCACAGCGAAATTTAAAATAATTTTCGATTCCCACCAAGAATCACTTTTGTGTTTAGATAGAAATTGTGATAAGATTGTACTTTTTCCAGCTCTGCAATCTTTTTGCTTTTCTTTTCGTTCCATCAACCTTGATTCACCACCACAGCTGTCCAATTGTCCAGCCTCCAACGGTGATCCACACAGAGAATAAGATTGCAACTTCTAGGATTTTCTCTTGTGCCAGCAAGAATAATGAAAAACATATGGACCTCAAACCCTAGTTATGTATTTATATAAACTCAAACGGACTCGGTCCGGTTCGGTCCAATATTTAATTAATCCAATTAATTAAACCTGGTCCATGAATTAATTAATGCAATTAATTAATTCGGAAATATAAATAACAAATCCAATTAATTAATTTATCCAACGGTTGTTAAATTAACCAATTGGTAATTTGCAAATTTTCAATTCTCTTTTGTGTGCGACCCATTAGGTTCCCGACCACGATATCTAATGACGTGAAATATTATTTTGATCTAATCAAAATC